ACAAAAAAATGAAATCCGGTCATTGGCAACAAAATGGAGGAATCTGGAAAACATCATGCTGAGTGAATTAAACCAGTCCCAAAGGGACAAATATCATATGTTCTCCCTGATCTGTGACAACTAACTGAGCACCTAAAAGGAAACCTGCAAAAGTGAAACCGACACTATGAGAAGCAATGACTTGATCAGCCTTTGTCCTGACTGTTGAGGAACAGCTTACTATTTTATTCTTTTTAGTATTTTCTTTTTCTTCTTAACACCATTGGTTGAACTCTTTAATTAACACAGAATTATTCTTAGGTGTTTAAATCCAATTGAAAATTGATCCCTGTTAAACATAAGAGTGAGAATAAGAGAGGGAGGCGATGTACAGTCTGGCACATACTCCCTTGGACTTACCCCTAAGAGTAAAGGTAAAAACTCGCCATGGGACTCCAAATCTCATTAAGTTGGCAAGTACCAATGCCCCCTTACTAGTTAAAGTGATCAGTTTAAGTTTGTAACTGATCATAAAGAAAGGATTAAGTGTCAAAGGGGTCACATAAATAAGACCAGTGTCTGCTAATAATAATTGATAGAATTAAAAAGGAGAGAATGAGCCAACATGGGAAGTGGGATACACAGCAGACTCATAGAATGACAAATGCCCTAAACAGCACTCTGGTCTCAGAATTAGTCCTTAAGGTATTTGGATCTGGCTAAAAAGCCCATGAGAATATCTCAGGCATGGAAAGCCAAGATACTGTGGCAAAAAATGACCTAAATGAAAGATCTCTGTGAGTGAGATTTCGGTGGAAAGAAGGGGCCATGAAAGGAAATACCTTTCTCTGAAAGGAGGAGAGAACTTCCACTTTGACTATGGCCTTGTCTAAATAACGCTGGAGTTTGTGAACTCAAGAGGCTTCCAGAGGCCGGTGCCGTGGCTCACTTGGTTAATCTTCCGCCTGTGGTGCCAGCATCCCATATGGACACCAGGTTCTAGTCCCAGTGGCTCCTCTTCCAGTCTAGCTCTCTGCTCTGGCCCAGGAGGGCAGTGGAGGATGGCCCAGGTTCCTGGGCCCCTGCACCCGCATGGGAGACAAGGAGGAAGCACCTGGCTCCTGGCTTCGGAGCGGCACAGCGCACCGGCTGTAACAGCCATTTGGGGGGTGACCCAACGGAAGGAAGACCTTTCTCTCTGTCTCTCTCTCTCACTATCTAACTCTGCCTGTCAAATAAAAATAAATAAATAAATAGGCTTCCATAGCCTTGGCAGCTCATGACAAGAGCCTTGGGTCATTACTGACGTCATAAATAAGAGTGTCAATTGATAAATCAACAACAGGAGTCATTGTGCACTTATTCCCCATGTAGAACTTCTGTCCTTAATGTGTAGTACTATGAGAATTAATGGTAAAGCCATGCTTCAAACAGTGCTTTATACTTTGTGTGTGTGTGTGTGGGTGCAAACTGTTGAAATCTTTACTCAGCATAGAGTTGATCTTCTGTATATAAGATAATTAAAAATGAATCTTAATGAAGAATGGGATAGGAGAGGGAATAGGAGATGGGATGGTTTGCTGGTGGGAGGGTGGTTATGGGGGGAAGAACTGCTATAATCCAGATGTTGAACTTTTGAAATTTATATTTATAAATAAAAGTTTTCTATTAAAAATAAAATAAATGCTTACTGAATGAAGGATTGAGGAGTTGCAAAATAGCCTAGCCAAAGATAATCATCAGTGTTGTATCTTTGAAGGTTTGATGAAGAGTTAACACTGATTTGGGGCTTAAAGGACTGAATAGTGTTTCTTTATATGAAGAAATGAGAGTTTCTAAGTGGGAAATGTAGCGAGTAAAATATGGGAACACAGAAAGCAAAATCTTATTAGCAAAGGGGAAATAATGCAGGCTGATTGTACACCATTATGTAAAGGCTGGAAGAACTAACGTGTGTTTTAGATTGGTAAGATTAACCTGGCAGAACTATGCAGGGTAAACTGGAGAGGACAGAAATTTACAGAATTCAAGCAGCTGGAAGGATGAAACTAGAACTCAAAAGTAATGCTGGGGAGAGAGAGAAGGACCTCAGAACTGTCACAATAGTAGTGGCAGCTGAAATGACAGGGCAATACTGCATGAAAATGTTTTGAGTATATTACCAGCGACAGTGTTCAACATTCTCTCACTCATTTCTGTCCTACCCACCCCAAACTGTGAGCTAACTCTTCCGTGCAGGGACTGTTTTATTCCTGCTTGTTTTCTCAGTGCTGAGCACAATACCTTACACAGGAGGTCAATAAATATTTGCTGAAGAAAAAAAAAATGCAGAGAAAGGAGAAAGCATTTTTCTCCAAGAGGTGGTCAGGGCGAAACAGATGCTGCTGCTGAACAGAGGGAGAAGTGACAGACATTTTATTGGATAGCTTTGGATCTTTTCAGGAAAATTTCTGATGAGCTGCAAAGCATCACATGGTTGAGAATGGGGTTAAGGGCTTAAGCAGAGTGAAACAATCTGGAACAGCTGCAACCAGAAATGTGCTCTGGAGACTCTCCTATGCCTGTGTGCCTTTTTTAGTGCTGTAGTACTTATCTGGAATGCTCCCTCCCACCCTCTGCTCCCTGCTTCACTCTTCTCTTACTTAAGTCTACTCATCTTTCAAAGACTAATTCTTATGCTGCCAACTTTTCTGGGACATTCTCTCTGATGTTATTTCAAATAAATCATTCACTTTTCAATGTTTATTCTCTCCTTGTGAATCCCACAATAAATTACTTGAATAAAGTATTTTACTTATCTGAATAGCTTCTCCAGACCTGATCAGAGGTAGTAGTTCTAAGTGTCTGCTGATATTCACCGTATACAAGTTTGATTGTTGAGTGACAGGAAGAACAAAGCTGAAGTTATACAGCTTGAAGTCCTGGTAGACTACATCAGGAAGGTTTTGGTAACTAACACCAGTGAAATGATGGAATAAAGAAATCAGGGAAAAGTAAAAAAGTTAAAAGAATGAGAGGTTGTGATGCAGGCAGATGAAAATGTAGTAGAAATCAAGATTATTATTTTTCCATTGGGAAAATCTATTCTTTGGTCTCACTATTTGTGAGAACAAACACACAAAGCTCATGTATATTTTATAGAAGTAAGGGATATAATTTTTTCTTACCTAACATTCTTACTAATCAGCAATAATGACCTAAAAAAATGAAACCAAACAATGAAGCCCTCATAATCAGACCTGCATTTTAACCATTTACTCCTCAACTTCACCAGTCCCTCCATCAGGATTCTCAACTTTCCTAAGAACAAAATAGATTGATTTTTCAATTTTACTTTTTTCCTTCATTTCCAAACTTTCTGAATAGTAATTAATGAGCAGTTAAAGAAAGGCAGGTACACGATGAGGACTGTAAATGTAGCATACAAGAGCAATGGGCTAGATGACTTTGAAATTTTAATTATTTTCATTTTCTTTGAAAAACAAAGAGGTAGAGCCATCCTCCATCTGCTGCTTCACTCCCCAGTGCCTGTAAACAGGCAGGGCTGGACCAAGCTGAAGCCAGGAGCCTGGAACTCCTAGATCTTCCACATGGGTGGCAGGGACTCAAGTACTTAAACTATCCTCTACTGCTTCCCAAGATGAAAATTAGCAGGAAGCCATAACAAAAGCAGAGTAATTGGAACTCAAATTAGGCACTCATATGGGATGCAAGCATCTCAAGCAACAACTTAAACTACTGTACCAAATGCTTGCCTTATTAGATGACTATAGAAGACCTATTTCAAATCCTGGTTCTGGCACCTGTCTGTGAAGTGGGATAATTACTTGGAAAAACTGTGGTAAGGGGGCTGGCACTGTGGTGTAGTAGGCTAAGCCTCCGCCTGCAGTGCCAGCATCCCATATGGGCGTTGGTTCTGGTCCTGGCTGCTCCACTTCCTATTCAGCTCTCTGCTGTGGCCTGGGAAAACAGTAGACAACGGTGCAAGTGTGTGGACCCTTACAACTGTGTGGTAGACCCAGAAGCTCCTGTCTCCTGATAGGCCCAGCTCTGGCTGTTGTGGCCATTTGGGGAGTGAACCAGTGGATGGAAGACCTCTCTCTCTGTGTCTCCCTGTGTATGTAACTGTACCTCTCAAATAAAATCTTACACACACAAAAAAAAAACTGTGCTAAGAAATACACTAGATGGTCTATAAAATCTTCTAACACAAGGAGCACTTTGAAGCGATCATGTGCAAGTGGTAGGAAACACAAATGACAGAAAAGGGCATTAAGTCCCCTCTTTGTACTTATTCTCTGTGCTCTCAATTCTTCTTAGTCAACTACTGATCCCATTTGCTGTGTACCCTTCCAAAAATATTCTACGTTTACTGCAGACACAGTCATGCACTTGTATTTTCCCCCTTTCCTTCATTTAGCTGACTTTTACTAACTCAGCATTTAATGAAATAACTGTACTGATAATTAAGTCCTACACAAATATGAGATATTATTCTTGGAGGGATGAGTAAGTCCTAAGCAAATACACTGCACCCTTCACTTTTATTTAAAACAGAGAGGCCGGCGTTGTGGTGTAGTGAGTTAAGCCACTGCCTGCAAATGCTGGCATCCCATATGAGCACTGGTTTGAGTCCCAGATACTCCACTTCTGATCCATCTCCCTGCTAATGTGCCTGGGAAAGCAGCGGAAGATGTCCCAAGTGCTAAGACTCCTGCCACCTACATGGGAGACACAGATGTTGTTCCAGGCTCCTGGCTTCAGCCTGACCCAGCCCTGGCTATTGCAGCCATTTGGGAGTGAGCCAGCAAATGAAGATCTCTCTCTCTCTCTATATATATATATATATAAATATAAAACTTGGTATTTCAAATAAATGAATTATATAGAGGTCTCTTGGACCCTAAGAATCAGTGCCAAGCTTGACCACTTTGTGCCACTTGGAGCAGTTCCTTTCGTCACCTTGAGAGAAGGGAGGCCGACAGCCACACTGCTTGACCTTGCCTCTGTCTGTCCCACAGGTGATCACTTACTCCAGTCATCATGTCTACAATAACTTGACTGAGGAACAGAAGGGCCGAGTAGCCTTTGCTTCCAATTTCCTGGCAGGAGATGCCTCTCTGCAGATTGAGCCGCTGAAGCCCAGTGACGAGGGCCGGTACACCTGTAAGGTGAAGAATTCAGGGCGGTATGTGTGGAGCCATGTCATCTTAAAAGTCTTAGGTAAGAAAGGGTGCCAAGGTAAATGCCTACATCTTTTCATAAGGTCTCTGGTATGGATAGTTAATTGTATCATGTTGCTACAAAACTTCATGCTTAGTACTTTACATTATATACTAAAAAGTCATTTGGCCCAGTTCCCTAGAAGAAGCATATGTGTTTTAGCCATAATGAAAAAAAGAAAATATAATTTTCCATGGTAACCCACTTAAAAATGGAAGTATCCTCTAATATTTGAATAGCATTCCTATATTTACCATAAATCTGTCAGATATGATTGAAATTCATTTCTGGTTTTTGACAGCAAGAGCTATAAGATTCTACTTAATTGCTTCTAAATTAATGAATTTCTATCCCTGTTTCAGTATCAGTAAAATCACACTCAACTTTCTTCAAATTTCCAATAAATAATCAAATCTTTTCTTTAAGAAGAGATGAGGGAATTTCTGAGGTAGTCCCTGAAAATTACAATAGCACTAACAGCAGTTGAAAGTGATGTGTGTGTGTGCGTGCGTGTGCATAGGGAATGGAGGTGGGTGTACTTCAGAGGAGTGACATAAAGCATGGCTGGTTGGTTGAATCCCCACTCTAAAGTTAACCCTAAGGGATGGCTGGAGAAACAAAACATGAATTTCAGTAGAATCTTGTATTTGGAGATGTGTGAATCATTACATTTTTTCTTTCTTTTTTAACCAGTGAGACCGTCCAAGCCCAAGTGTGAACTGGAAGGAGCACTGACAGAAGGAAGTGACCTGACTTTACAGTGCGAGTCATCCTCTGGCACAAAGCCCATTGTATATTACTGGCAGCGAATCCGGGAGAAAGAGGGAGAGGATGAACATCTGCCTCCCAAATCTAGAATTGGTAAGTCATCTTCCTACCATCTACTGAGCCAACAAAATATTACTCTGTCCATGAATTCTAAATCTGCTGAACCTCTTGAACTCCAATTTTTCATCCATTAACTAAGAAAATGTCTTTCCTCAAATGGCATGTGAAAATGACAAAGACACTGTATAAGTTCATTATATCTTATTGTCTTGTTTAGTATCCTTTTTCTTTTCATATCTTCAGCAGCAGGATGAACCACAATTTAGAATACTTCCCTTCTTCCCATGTTCCAAAAAAGGATGTCATTTCATTCTTATCAGATTTCATAAGAATCTGAGGTCAAGATGCAATAGAGTAAGCAATAAATATAGATGCCATCAGAAGGGAGATTTAATGTCACTCTTTGTTTGTGTAGATTACAACAACCCTGGACGAGTTCTGTTGCAGAATCTCACAATGTCCTCTTCTGGACTCTACCAGTGCACAGCAGGCAATGAGGCTGGGAAGGAAAGTTGTGTGGTTCGAGTGACTGTGCAGTGTAAGTATCCCAAAGGGCTGTTTTTGCTTTGCATTATAGTTCATGTCAGATATTTTGATCGTGACTAAGGTCACAGAAAGTCAAAGGCAGTCTGTATTTCTAGAATGTTATCAGTGTCTTCAAAATAAGCTCCTGGCTTCAGATTGGTGCAGCTCTGGCTGTTGCAGCCAACTGGGGAGTGAGTGAACCATCTGATGGAAGACCCCCCCCCCCCGCCTCTCCTCTCTCTGTGTAACTCTTTCAAATAAATAAATAAATAAATCTATCTTAAAAAAAACTCAGTAGTTGCAAGGACCTTTCAACAACTTTTTTTTTTTTCCATTTTTTTTTTTTTATTTACTTATTTGAAAGTCAGAGTTACAGAGAGAGATCTTTCATCCTCTGGTTCACTCTCCAGATGGTCACAACAACCAGCACTGGGTCAGGACAAAGCCAGGAGCCATGAGTTTCATCCAGGTCTGCCGCATGGGTGGAAGGGGCCCAGGCACTTGGGCCATATTCTGCTGCTTTTCCCAGGCCATTAGCAGGGAGCTGGATGGGAAGTGGAGCAGCCCAGCGCCCATATAGGATGTTGGTATTTCAGGTGGCAGCTTTACCCACTATGCCACAGTGCAGACCCCTCCACACTGTTTCTGACTCAATAGTTAGAAATGTGTGAATTAACCAGCCCCCTAAAGAAATTTACTATATCCAGGAGGGGATCAAATAAACACCAATCATAAACAGGCCGGTGCTGTGGCATAGCAGGCTGGGCCTCCACCTGTGACGTCACCATCCCTTTGGGCATCAGTTCATGTCCCAGCTGCTCCTCTTCTGATCCAGCTCTCTGCTATGACCTGGGAAAGCAGTACAAAATGGCCCCAGTGCTTGGACCCCTATACCCACCTGGGAGACCCCGAATATGTTCCTAGCTCCTCCTAGTTTCAGATCAACCCAGTTCCAGCTGTTTGTGGCCATTTGGGGAGTGAACCAGTGGATGGAAGACCTTTCTCTCTGTCTCTCCTTCTCTCTGTAACTGTTATGCCACTGATCATCCTAGGCAAGTAGATACATTCCTCCCTTCCACAAAGTGTTTGTCAGTGAACAAGTGTGTGTGTATGTTTATGTGTTATAATCCAGAATGAGATGTTTCAAGTTACAGATAAGAGACAGCAGCAAGGTGATTAAGAGCGTTAGCTTTGGAGTCAAGCAACTGCCTGGATTTCAATATCAGCTACCATTAACTATATACTACCCTGGGCACACTCCTGTTTCTTAACCTTTCCATGTTTCCTATCTATGTAACATGAAGATAGTATCTATCTCATAGAGTTGTGTAAATTAAGTAAATTAGCAGATTTACGTACCACTGCTTGGGAATGGTGGCTGACAAATGGTGAACATCCAACATCAGCTAGTGCTACTATTTTTGTAATTCAATTTGATAACTTTACACATTAGAACCAAAGCCCATGTCCTCAAGGAATGCTAGCAGTGTTAGTAATTACTTAGTGCAACAAATTATTTAGTATAAATAAATGTACTCCAGGTTCATAATCTAGAGTTTGAATCTTGAAAAAAGAAAGGACAGGGGCTGGCATTGTGGTGTAGCAGATCAACCTGCTGCTTGTGATGCTGGCATCCCAAATAGTGCTGTTTCAAGTCCTGGCTGGTGTGCTTCTGAGTCAGCTCCCTGCTTCTAGGAAAGCAGAACATAGTCCAAGTGTTTGAGCCCCTGCCACCCACGTGTGAGACCAGATGGAGCTCTGGGTTCCTGGCTTCAGCCTAGCCCAGCTCCGCTTGTTGTGGCCATTTGGGGAATGATCCAGCGGATAGAAGATCTCTCTCTCCCTGTCACTTTGCCTTTCAGATAAATAAATCTTAAAAAAAGAAAGAAAAAAAACATGATAAAGCAAATTAAAAGATAAAGGTAAGGGTAGGCATTTGGCCTAGTGATTAAGATGCCTGTGTACCACATCAAGCACTTTGGTTCAATACCCACCTCTAACTCCTGGCTTGTTTGAGCTAACTCAGCCCCTAGGATGGAGCAGTGATGGCTCAGGTTATTGGGTATCTGCCACTCATGAGACCAAGATTGAGTTCCCAACTCCCAGCTTCAGCCTTAGCACAGCCCAGACTGACAGGCATTTGAAGAGTGAACCAGTAGATGAGAACTCTCTCATTTCTGTCTACCAATAAATAAATTTTAAAGACAAAAACAGGGGTGGCTTTGTGGCACAGCAGGTAAAGCTGTCTGCAACACCAATATCCCATATGGGTGCCAGTTCGAGTCCTGGCTGCTTCAGCTCTGATCCAGTTCTCTGTTAATGGGCCCAGGAAAGCAGTGGAAAATGGCTTAGGTTCTTGAGCTCCTGCACCCATATGGGGGACCTGGATGGAATTCCAGGCTCCTGGATTCAGCCTGGCCCAGCCCTGGTGCTGCAGTCATTTGGGGAGTTAACCAGTAGATGGGAGATCTATTTAAAGCACAAGATAAATATATTTATATATATATGTGTGTATATATATATATTTCTCTTTCAAGTAAATACATCTTTAAATAACAAATGTATATATTTATTATGTTTCAGTATAAATTTTTAATATATTTTATATATATTTATATAATTTTTAATTTTATAATTTATACATTTTATATATATATTTATAGATTTATCTATTTGAAAGGCATGAGTTAGAGAGAGAGAGAGAGAGAGAATGAATCTTCCATCCACTGGCTCACACTGAAGCTGGGATGATCAAAAGCCAGGAGCCAGGAGCTTCATCTGGACCTCCTGCATCAGTGCAGGGGCCCAAGTACTTGGGCCATCTTTCACTGCTTTTGTAGGCACATTAGCAGGAAGCTGGATCAGAAGTGGAGCAGCAAGGACTTGAACCGGTGCCCATATGGGATGCCTGTAGTGTCAGCCCCTCTAATATCTATTCCTGTGTAACCAAGTACTCCAAAATTTAGTGGTTTAAACTGGTCTTTATTATCTCTTAATTTCTGTGGGTCAGAAAGTTGGGAATGGCTTAACTAGGAAGTCTTGTTTACTGTCTCCTCAGGAGACGTTGACAGCAAGATAACTAGTGTGGCAGTCATTGCAAGCTTGCCTGGTGCTGTATGATCTAAGATGGCTTACTCACTTGGCTGTGGGTGGGGGCCTCAGTTCACCACATGGGCCTCTACATAAGGTTTGTGACAAAGCAGCTGGCTTCTACAAAGTAAGTGATCTGAGAGCAAGAGGATCTAAGCACAATCAGAGATCTAAGAAACTCAAGACCTGAAAAAGAACTGCAGTGCTTTTTTTGTGATAAAACCTGAGGTTTGACATGCCATTACTTTAATATTCTATTCATTAGAACTATATACTAAGTCCAGACCACTCTGTGAAGCAGGAAAATGAAGCTCTACCTCTTGAAGGGGGAGGTAGTGAATAATCTATGGACATATTTATAAAACCACTAGAGTACATAGTCTAGTAATCCATGTATATAAAAACATGATAATGAACTCTTTTAAGTGAGAACACAGCTAAACCAAAATAGGCACAGACTGTTGTTGAAGTACAATTTTCAAAAAAGTAAAATATTGACTTCAACAGATTAAAGATTTTATTTAATCCATTACTTAGGGAGTAATTAAGATATAAAAACTGGTCCAAAGTACATTTAAGAAGTTAGGTAAATAGAAACAATGTAACAGATGAAAAAGATTGCTAGCTTAGACATCAAACTGGTTAATGTCCTACAAAGCCACATCACAGACTGTACTTTTTGGAGTCATCTGTTTAACTGGAACATCAACTACTTCCACCTCTACTGGACAGAGATTTACCAGTTGCCTTTACAGAGCTGAAAACTGCCAACCAATGAACTTTTTTGGTCTGTTTTCAACTTCCAGAATTTTTTTCTTCACAGAGGACAAAAAAAGTCCCACCACTTTAATCTATCAGCTTGGTAAAGATAAAAACCGTGGTACTAAGGATTACACAGGTTGTTGGAAAACAGGTGCTTTCATATTTCTGACTGGAGTATAAACTGGTAGCACAATTTAGTTTAATCTATACATTTTGGGGAAGATAAATACAATGAAGTAAAACAGAAAAATGCATAAATCCTCAAGTTCACATCTCAATAAATTTTCAAAAGTAAATATACCTGTGCAAACAGCATCAACCTTTTTTTTTTTTTTTAAGATTTATTTTGTTTATTTGAAACTCAGACTTACAGAGAGAGGAGAGGCAGAGAGGGAGGTCTTCCATCCACTGGATCGCTCCCCAATTGGCTGCAACGGCCGGAGCTGTGCCAATCTGAAGCCAGGAGCTTCTTCCAGGTCTCCCACATGGGTGCAGAGGCCCAAGCACTTGGGCCATCTTCTACTGCTTTCCCAGGCCATAGCACAGAGCTGGATCGGAAGTGAAGCAGCCGGGTCTTGAACCAGAGCCCATATGGGATGCCACCTGTGGGACCAGCATCCAATATGGGTGCCGGTTAGAGTCCCAGCTGTTCCACTTGCGATCCAGCTCTCTGCTATGGCCTGGGAAAGCAGGGAAAGATGGCTCAAGTGCTTGGGCCCCTGCACCGCATGGGAAACCTGGTGGAGAAGGCAGCTCCTGGCTTCATATCAGCACAGCTTTGTTCGTTGTGGCCAGTTGGGGAGTGAACCATTGGATGAGGACCCCTCTCTCTGCCTCTCCTTTTCTCCTTGTGTAACTCTGACTTCCAAATAAATCAATAAATCTTTAAAAAATTATTTATTTTATTTGAAAGGAAGAAAGAGATCTTCCATCTGCTGGTTCACTCCCCAGTGGCCACATTGGTCACAGCTGTGCCAGGCCACAGCCAGGAGCCTGGAGCTTCCTTCGATCTCCCACATGGAAGTAGGCACCCAAGCACTCGGGCCATCTTCCACTACTTTCCCAAGCAAATTAGTAGGGAGATGGAGTCGAAGGGGAGTAGCTAGGTCTCTAACCAACACCCGTATGGGATGCCAGCATCACAGGTGGTGGTTTAACCTGCTATAAGACTTTGAGGGGCTAGCATTGTGGCATAGCAAAGTCTTATTTCCTTAAAAAAAAAAAATCAATTTTTATGTTATAGGTCATTTTTTTTTGAATTTTTATTTATTTATTTGAAGGGCAGAGTTACAGAGAGGCAGAAGCAGTGAGAGAGAGGTCTTCCATCCGCTGGTTCACTCCCCAAATGGCCGCAACAGCTGGAGCTGGGCTGATCCAAAGCCAGGAGCCTCTTCTGGGTCTCCCACGTGGGTGCACAGGCCCAAGAACTTGGGTCATCTTCCACTGCTTTCCCAGGCCATAGCAGGAAGCTGGTTTGGAAGTGGAGCAGCTGCTGGGTCTTGAACCAGCGCCCATGTACGATGTTGGCACTGCAGGTGGTGGGTTTACCCACTACGCCACAGTGCTGGTTCTGAGGTCCTTTAGTTTTTATGAAGATAGTAGGACAAGAATAAATACCAAAGTCTGTTGAAAATATTTTATTATTATCTTATTTATTTGAAAGACAGAGTTAGAGAGGTAGAGATAAAGGTCTTCCATCTGCTAGTTCATTCCCCAGATGGCAGCAACAACTGGAGCTGCACCAATCCGAAGCCAGGATCCAGGACTTCTTCCGGGTCTCCCACATGGGTGCAGGGGCCCAAGGATGTGGGCCATCTTCTACTGCTTTCCCAGGCCATAGCAGGGAGCTGGATCGGAAGATGAACAACTGGGACTAGAACTGGCACCCATATGTGATGCTAGCGCTTCAGGCCAGGGCTTTAACTTGCTGTGCCACAGCACCGGCCCCAAAAATATTTTTAAAATATAGGCAATATCCATCTACCTGTTTTGACACACATCACTTCTACTTAGCCTAATCCACTGTCATCTCTAGCCTGTGCTACAAAAAGTATTCTATCCAGTATCCCTGCTTCTCTCCTTATCTCTCCACAATCCACTTTCCCTTAGAGTCGCCATGATGTGCTTTCTCAAATGTAATGTGGATCATGTTACTGTTCCATTGCTCCTATGAGGCATGGTGTGAGCTGGTCCCTTCCTGTTTCCATGAGCAGGACCTCTTCTCCCAGCACTCTCCTTGCTCACTGTGCTACAGACTCTCATATTCATCACACCCACTACTCCTTCTGCCCGGAATGCTCTGTTCCTTGATCATAACAGTCTAACATCATTTATGCTTCAAATGTCACCGCTTCAAAATTCAGATCACCTAAATTTAAACAGCAGCCCTCTATTCCTCCTTTAAAATATCACCCATCCAATTTCTGCCTTCACAGAATTTATCCATTATCTGAAATTATCTTTATTTATTTGTTTATTATGTTTCCCCCCAATTCTGGAATGTAAATGCAACGAAAGCAGAAACCTTGCCTGTGTCTTAGAATGTGCCTGGTGCATGGTAGACAATAAATATTTGGTGCCTGAAACAACATAAGGGCTATCTCACCATGATCTAGTTACTCATCAGTTTAACTGATGTGCAAATCACATTGACTTCTGAATTTCTAGGACCTACTGCTAAATCCCACACAGCATCTAACATTGCTTATTATATTCCTTTTATTTTATTGGTGGGAGAAGGGGAAAGTTAGAGAAAGAAGCTTACAGAGCCAGAGAGCTGTCCAAACATTATCCTATCAAGATTGACAATCTGAATATATGGGCTGCATGTGTGTGTGTATATATATGTGTGTATATACATATATACTATACATATTATAGATAGATAACTAGATATAGTCTCCCAGCCTCAGTTTTATCATCTGAATCAATTCAGGCTTATTCAGTAAAATCTGGACCAACTGCTGATAAAATCTGTGATTCAGTTAATGCAACCGCAAAAATATCAAGACAGTCACATGAATATACCATGGTCCTACTCGGAACACAGAGCCCTAGAAATATGCATCCTGTTCAGTGCTTATGTTGTTGTTGTTTGAGCTCCTGAATTTCCTGGCTTATGTTCTGTGTGTTTTTTTTTTTTTTTTTTTTGTGCTTTTGCTTCTGAGAAAATAGATGTACAAAGCATCGGTATGGTTGCAGGAGCAGTGACAGGCATAGTAGCTGGAGCTCTGCTCATTTTCCTCTTGGTGTGGCTGCTAATCCGAAGGAAAGATAAAAAGAGATATGAGGAAGAAGAAAGACCTAATGAAATTCGGTAAGCAACCCCAAATCCCCACTTCTACTGGGCTTCTTTTCTGAGGTCAGCTCCATAATAACCTGTCAACATAGTGTCCCCAGTTTCCTCCTAACTATGAATCTGTCAAACGATCACTCTGTAAGGCAGGATGATCTAGTCTAGGGACAGATGGTCTGGTTTCCCCCTAGACTTCACTGTACAAAACAATCTACAACAGTCTTAAAAGTTCAGCTTCCCATTACTGCTGGTTTACTTCCATTCATAAGGGGAATACAAACGACAGGCCTTAAGACTTTCTCAATGTGAGATGATATGAATCTTCCCCGTGTAACAGAGTAGACCTCTGGGTTAACAGAACACACATTTGCCTAAGCCAAGCATTAAACTTTAAGAAATGATGAAGTGCCTATTGACCTACATGGCTGCCTTCCAATGGTATTATTTGAGGTTTACAGGTTGAGGGATTGATTAGGAAATCTCAGATGAAGCAACCATAGTAGAAGCCATGACAGTCCTGTCAGTAATAAAGTTTGTCTTTGCTGTGTTTTCTCTTCAGAGAAGATGCTGAAGCCCCCAAAGCCCGCCTTGTGAAACCCAGCTCCTCTTCCTCAGGCTCTCGGAGCTCACGCTCTGGTTCTTCCTCTACTCGCTCCACAGCAAATAGTGCCTCACGCAGCCAGCGGACACTGTCGACTGATGCAGCACCCCAGCCAGGACTGGTCACCCAGGCATATGGTCTAGTGGGGCCAGACACAAAAAGTTCTGAACCAAAGAAAGTCCACCATGCTACTCTGACCAAAGCAGAAACTGCAACGAGCATGATCCCCAGCCAGAGCAGAGCCTTCCAAACTGTCTAAATTAAAGTCGACGTGACTCCCAGGCTTTCCTAGATTCAGGTCTTAGGACTCTACTAGTCACTGGAGCTCAGTCACCAGCCACATAACCCCTTTGAACCAGATTAAGAGGTCGTTTAAGTAGCAGTGAGCATTGTGTGGAACAGACTGAGATGAGTACTTCCCTTAAGTGACACCAGAGAACCAAAAGGATGCAAGTTGATCATCTCCCCAAAGGCACTCATTATGCCTTTAGACCACAGTGGGGGAAAACAGGTGTCCAAATTTGTGTATTTTTGACCAGGACCCATGATGTATAGGTGAGGTAAACACACCAAAACTTCTCACCAGGGATATTTTCTATCAATGCTTTGATTCACCACTGTCCAAAAGAATTGGGATATTGTTTGTAAGTTTTCTATGCATTTATAAAATCTACTGGATTACTGTTAATTACTCAGATACTCAAGCAGAACCCACAGCCTTATATCACACCTATCTTCACCATGTACTGGGCTAACCACCTCTAAGAACTCCACAAAGGAAACACATCTCTTCTATCAACTTGCCTGCATTTGTCCTAAGGTTTCAAGGAGTTTAAAGAGTGGGAGATGGAGATTGACTTTCTTCTACTCTATCTACTGCTCATCTCCCTAGTTACACTGAAACCTAAATTACATCAAAAAGGGAGTCCAGGATGTGACAAGTGACAATGAAAAGCTTTCCATCACAGGGAAATGCTGACAAACACCAGAAATATACGTTGGAACAATTGTGGATTTTTTCTCAAATCAGATGCCCTGAGGGCTTCTCTGCTGGATATCTCAAGAGAAAGAAAAATTTCACTACATCATTTAATCATGTCCTTAGAAAGAAGTCTTCTAGATAAAAAGAGATCTAGGAAGGCTGAAAGACCACCTGATATACCACTATAATTTCTTACTTCTGAGAACATGTGAAACCAGAATTTCAAGACTAACTAGAGAAAAAGATTTGATTAGTTTCCTCTGAATATGTTAGGGAGAGATAAGGAAGTTTAGTATTGCACCATACATGTAGCTTCCTCCATTTTTTTCACTTCAGAAGGATGTGAACCTGGGACTTTTTAATGATCCTAAGTCTTAAAATATCAAAAAGATCAGAAGCTGCTAACATTTCCTAATGACACTCCAAGTATATGCTAATATCATTTCCTCCTGGGAGATTGAAGCAGGGAAATTCAGTGTTGTCCCAGCCTTAGCCTCTAAGGAAATGCATCTCTGAGCTGAAAAGAAAGGGAACTAACAATTAGGGAAGCGATGATGAAAGTAACTAATGTCAGAAGGTAGGGCGAATGCCTATTAACATCTTAGCTGTTGGCATTTAGCAAAGAATTGGCAGAAAGAGGGATGGGCACTGAGGCACAGTGCATTAAGCTTCCACCTGCAATGCTTGCATCCCCTTTGAGCACCTGTTAAAGAGTCTTGCTGCTTCTATTCCAATCCAGCTACCTGCTAATGTGCCTAGGAAGGCAGCAGCAGATGGCTGAAGTACTTGGGCCCCTGTTACCCACACAGGAGACCCAGATAGAACACTGGGCTCCTGGCTTCAGCCTGGCCCTGCCCTGGCTGTTGCAGCTATCTGGGGAGTGAACCAGCAGATGGAAGATCAAGCTCTCTTTCTCTGTCGCTCTGCCTTTCAAATAAATAAAATATTAAAAATAATAAAGTCTAGAATTGGCAGAAAGGATTCACCAGGATAGTTATTGGAAGTGGATGCACAGGAGCAGAAAGGTGTCTGAGAAACCAGCTGTCTCCAATACAGTGTCTTCCTTTTTTTTTTTTTTTAAAGATCCATTTTATTTAATTGAAAGGCAGTGTTATAGAGGAGAGAGCAAGCTTTTATCTTCTGGTTCACTCCCCAAATGGCTGCAACGTCCGGAGCTAAGCTGGTCTGAAGCCAGGAGTTTCTTCCAGGTCTCCCACATGGGTACAGGAGCCCAAGGACTTAGGCCATCCTCTGCTGCTTTCCCAGAGTATTAGCAGGGAGCAGGATTGGAAGTGGAGCAGCTGGGACTTGAACCAGCATCCATATGGGATGCAGGCACTGCAGGCAGTGGCTTTATCTGCTATGCCACAGAGCCAGCCTCGTCATCCCTTTTTAATGGATTTGACTACTAAGACACAAAGCACAAACGCTGAACCTGAAATTGCCCATCAAGGAACCCAGCACAAGTGTCAACTGATCACCACTGGTAGAACAGAGTATTTCTTCTTATCCAAAGGGCTAAAGGAAAGAAAAGTAATACTGGATATGGTGATGAAAGCATTGTTTCCCAAAGAGAAATCAGATGCTTAAAGGAAAAAGGCTGACCTGGGATTCTGCCCCATTTCTTTGGTTTTTCATTCCTACATTTAACTCTCACAACAGAGTCCTTACAATGTACAAGTCCACCTCCTTCTAAAGTCCTGAGGAATTTATCTTTGGGTGAACATTTTAACTTGAGTTTTATCTTCTCTAAAAATGGTGGGAAATGAGACACTGAGGAAGTAACATAAAGAACTTCTGCTACCAGTTCAAGAGTACTGGCGTATTTGGAATGCTTCTAACACTAACTCATTGTAAGAGATAAAACCCCTTATTCTGGCTATATTTTTATTCTTCTGGTAGTGTGGTATCCAGGCAACATATCTCTCCTGCTTTATGATTCTGAGAATTCTCATTTCTAGAGTACCTGAGCCAAACAAGTACACTATGGAGGCTGCAGCTCTATCATCACTAGTAATTTGCTCTTGTGTTAGAACCTTTGAACCTAAAGTGGCCTGCCTAAGCCTTTGAAAGCAGGAATAAATCGTGCATGAAACAGAGATTTAGTTTGAACATATTAATTATCAGAAGACTAAAATACCAGTTGAATATCCAAATTATTTTGGAAATCTATTGACAGTGGAAACCTACAACAAATACCTAAAACAGATTACACTAAGAGCCTGGAAAATTCTAAGGAACTGAAGATTCTTAGAGGTAAGGTGCTGAAGTCTTAGCAATGATACTGCACTTCTCAAGTCAGACATCTGGGTTTAGAGAATACAGGCTCTAGGCTTACAATAAAGTTAGAGCCATACTGGTTCCACCACATTCCATTTACTCTGCAAGTAAAATTTAATATGAAACAAACGCAATGTAGGAAAAAGAAGTAGATGGAATGGCATAGATGTTTAGACAGTAACCATTTCAATAAAATACATTCACCAAAAAAAATCTGTAAAATAAAGAGGTTAAAGACATTGTTCCTATATTGTATAAACACAATTTCAAAACTGTTCCAAAACGACATATACAATTTTGCTTCGTTTCTGGTGTTCAACTGTTTATATTTCAACTTCTAAACTGCTTTGTAATTGGGACTGTGTTTAAGCATCACAAAAACCAACTATTTATTATAGATGCATCTGTATCAGCAATTTAAGAAAAAATAAATAAGATGATACTGTAGGCGAGACTGAAGTTCATATAATCCACCCTGGAAATTTATCAGCTTGCTGCCTACAGAACAGAAGGACTCAGACTGAATACGATCTAATATGTATTGATTTCAGTCACAAACATGCCATATACTTTTTTCTCAGAAGGTAAAATGCTAAGTAATACAGGCGATGGTAAGTGATGATACAGCAAGTTTTTTGCAAACAAGTACCAACAGAGAAGCACACACTAAAATTCAAAGAAATCCAGAAAGAGAAGTCCACACTAAAAGATTCAAATGTACCTGAAAAACACTTCAGAGGTTTATCATAATAGAAGAGCAGTAATAACAGTAATCATAAGTTACTGAGCCATTACCATGTGCCACTCATACTAAGTACACTAATAGCTTGTCTCAATCTCATACTCACATTAACCCCATAAGGAGATATCTGTGTTCTCTTTTTACAAATGAGAAAACTAAGGGTCAAGAGAGGTTGAGTCAGTAGCACAGCCAGGATTTAAACCCAGCCACTGTGTTAGCCTATTCCATCAGAACTGCAGATTCTGATCAGTCACTATTTTTATTCCTGAAATTCTCAAACCTTTATCCCAAACCATGAATTTTCCTTTCTCCTTGCTTTCCTCCTTGCTTTCTTCCTTGCCTTAATGCTTTTCACCATACCTGGGACACACTTAGCTCACTCACACAGTTAAATCCAAATTATTTCAGGGTAACATTCCAACTTTAAAATTGCCTGTGAAGTTTTTATGATAAAGTAATGATAGGCTTAGGTTATATGATACAATCTCTGTTGAATGCTAAGCAGAATATTTTGAAAACATAAAGGTTAAGAAATCTGTCAGCCTTCTGAGACAAAAAGATCAGCTGCATTAAAACTCCAAAGTAATAGGCACACCTGATTCTCCAAAGATGCTAAAGGCAGATCAATTTATCAAAAATGTTTTAAAGAGCTCAAACACTTCAGGGACCTCATAGTTTGAAGTTATTATGTTTACAATTATTTTGGACTGACTTTACACTCCCTTTAGTTTTTTATATCTTGTTTTTATTACCTTTCCTGGATGGAAAAATAAGATATAAAAGAAATATGGATTATTTCTATATAAAGATATAAAGGAAATCCAGTTTGCTACTTCTAAGTGGCACTAATAATTCAAGCAATAAAAATATAAAGACTCCAACTTATACAGCACATCCTCTCCACAGTACAGGGGCTCAACAAGATGTCTTAAAAAGCTCAAGGGATGGGCCGGCGCCGCGGCTCACTAGGCTAATCCTCCGCCTAGCGGTGCCGGCACACCGGGTTCTAGTCCCGGTCGGGGCGCCGGATTCTGTCCCGGTTGCCCCTCTTCCAGGCCAGCCCTCTGCTGTGGCCAGGGAGTGCAGTGGAGGATGGCCCAGGTGCTTGGGCCCTGCACCCCATGGGAGACCAGGAAAAGCACCTGGCTCCTGGCTCCTGCCATCGGATCAGCGCGGTGCGCCGGCCGCAGTGCACCGGCCGCGGCGGCCATTGGAGGGTGAACCAACGGCAAAAGGAAGACCCTTCTCTTTGTCTCTCTCTCTCACTGTCCACTCTGCCTGTCAAAAACAAACAAACAAACAAAAAAAAAGCTCAAGGGATGGGAGACGTGCATTGGGTTCTTGGCTCCTAGTTTTGAACTCTGTCCCCCTCCCTTGCAGACATTTGGGGAATGAACCAATGCTGGGAGTGCTCCCTTTCTTTTCCTGTGGACTAAACAGATAATACAAGCCAAGTTCTGTTAGGAAACTGGTGCAGTTTTAGCCAGGTGGCCACATGGCCCAGCTACCTGAGCCAGGCTCCACCCCCATCCTAATGGGATTCGCTGCTCCTGCTTCCCTGCCCACCCTCAGGCGAAGTTTTAAAAGGGCCTGTTCCTGAACATGTGCTCTCTTGGCTCTTGGTTCTTCTCTCTTGGCTCTGCTCTCCTCTCTCCTCTTCTCTGCTCTATCTTCTCTCCTTGCTAGCTCCTCTCCTCTCTGTTTCTCTCTTACATTCTCTTTCTCTCTTTTTCCTTCGCCACCCCTTCACTCCGGTCTGTAGGGTATTCCCCAATAAACCCTTTCCCTTACTCCGGTGTTCGGTGTGTTTTGCGACGGCTAACATTAATATATATAACAAGTTCTTAACATGTTGTCCTGCACAATAAAATAACAATGACAAGGACTTCATTATCAGTAACACTAGGCATGAGTATGTTATAAAGCATGATCTGGTTAGAGGGCAACATTGGGGAAAAAAGGTATTTGGGTTAGGGGCTGGCGTTGTGGCCTAGTGGGTAAAGCTGGTGCTGGCATCCCATATAGTCGCTGGTTCAAGTCCTGGCTGCTCCATTTCTAATTCAGACTCCCACTAATGCGCCTGGGAAACCAGTGGAAGATGGCCCAAGTCCTTGGGCCCCTGCACCCACGTGGGAGACCTGGAAGAAGCTCCTGGCTCCAGCTCTGGCTGTTACTCCCATTTGTGGAGTGAACCAGCGGATGGTTTCTGTCTCTCCCTCTTTCAAATAAATAAATAAATAAATCTTTAAAAAAAAAAAAAGATATTGGGCTTACTTGTATGCTGTTATCCAATAGCAATAACTTATACCTGGCTGCATTTAGAAAGTCAAAATATTAATAACAGCGTGAGTCATTCTGGTTTCAAATTTCCCTTATGAAATGCAATAAGTACACTCAAGTCTTTGGGTAATCAGGGCATAAACTGCATCTTTAAACAATGTCGTTGGGTCCAACAAAGGTTGTTTTTAATACCTGAGGTTTTGAAGGAACTTCTGTATAAATTCACCATTCTTTGATGTTGAATAATTTTCTAAAATGTCATTTAGTAACGTACATCACATAATTTTATACAAATTATCCAATTAAACCCTAAACTTTTAACTTTTGGGAAGAAAAAAGAAGACAAGGGGCTGTCTACTTTAGGTTGATTAATTATTCATTTACATATTGCCTAATGAATTATGCCAATTTAAATAATCTATTTAGAAGTTTCTTCAATTGACAGTACTCCAACATTTTGTCAATAACCAGTAACGATACAAAAAAAAAAAAAAAAAAAACAACCCTTAGCTTGTTCTTTCTTGCCCTGGTCTCACCATTTTAAGGCTTGCTTCCTCTTCTCCCAGAACACTGGAGAAGTTGGTGACTCCATCCAGTAGCTATCCCAAAAAGGACTTAGTTTGAATTCAATTTCTTATCTGCTTTCACATCCACAATGCAAACTGAACACACAGTCTGTTTCTCCTAATCTTACCTTCCTTATCAGAACAGCTTTGAAAGTTAAAAGACCAAACAAAGTTCTTAACTTTAGGGTCTCTGGGAATTCAATAGAAGACTTTGAGTCCTTTGATACTTAGATTTAAGAAGCCTTGGGAATAAGGGAAGGGGGACTGACAGGACAGGCAAAGTACTGTTTTGCAACTTACTTCACTTGCAACAAACATGAGGGTAGTTTTACAAAAAGGAGAACTAGGGGGCAAGCATGGTGGCATAGTGAATAAATCCACTGCTTACAATACCAGCACCAAATATGGGCACTGGGAGGAGTCTCAGAGTCCCAGCTGCTCCGCTTCAGATCAAGCTCCCTCCTAATGGCTTGGGAAGAGCAGCCAAAGATTCCCTACTTGGGAGACCCAAATGAACCTCCTGGCTCCTAGCTTCTGCCTGGCCCTGCACCAGCTGTTGCAGCCATCTGGAGAGTGAACCAGTGAACGGAACATCTTCCTAACACTTTCCAAAGTTTTCCTTTTAAAAAGGAAAAAAGAAACTACCTCTTTGGCATAGAAATGGTTTGAATTCTAATTCAGGTCTGACTCCAAATAAAGTCCATGTTCTTTCCATTCCACCATGCTTCTCATAATAAAAACAAATGAAAATGGATCCTTAATACTAAAGAGGAATTGCAAAGGCAAACTCCAGTCTGATATAATTAAAGACTATCAAATAACCCAGGTACAAACTGTCACTACTGGAGAACAGCCCAACACCTCCCCCCCCATCCCCCGCCTCTCATCACATTATGCTTCAGAGCACCCTCATGCCTAGACTAGCTACTGCGAGTGGAGTCCTTGTCATTGCTGTTTTATTGCACAGGATAACCTGCTGAGCACTTGATTTGCATTTTTCATTTATTTGAGAGGGAAAGGGAGCCCAAGTTCAATCCTCTAACTGGACAATCCAATCTTCAGTTTAATGTGACTTTACCATTTTGCCATGGTGGGTTTTTTTTGGTGCCTTTTTTCTTTTTTTAAGATTTTACTTATTTGAGAGGTAGAGTTACAGACAGTGAGAAGGAGAGAGAGAGAGAGAAAAGAAAGGTCTTCCTTCCATTGGTTCACACCTCAGATGGTCACAACGGCTGGAGCTGAGCTGATCCTAAGCCAGGAGCCAGGTGCTTCTTCCCTGTCTCCCATGTGGGTGCAGAGGCCCAAGCACTTGAGCCATCTTCTAACTGCTTTCCCAGGCCATAGCAGAGAGCTGGGTTGGAAGAGGGGCAGCCAGGACTAATACCGGCACCCATATGGGATGCTGGCACTGCAGGTGGGGGATTAACCTACTGTGCCACAATGCCAGCACCTAATCTTTTCTTTAAAAAAAAATTTATTTATTTATTTGAGAGGCAGAGTTTCAGAGAGAGAGACAGAGAGAGAGAGAGAGCGAGAGAGACAGAGAGATAGTTCTACCCAAATGGTGGAGACAGCCAGAGCTGGGCGTATCCAAGGCCAGGAACCAGGAGCTTCTTCCTGGTCTACCACATGGGTTCCGAGGCCCAAGCACTTGGGCCATCTTCCACTGCTTTCCCAGGCCATTTGCAGAGAGCTGGATTGGAAATGGAGTAGCTGAGACTCAACCCTGTGCCCATATGGGATATTGGTGCTGCAGGCCAGCAGAGGCTTAACCTACTAATGCCATAGTGGCCCCACCACAGTATTTCAGACAGCAGAAAGCAAAGTTTTATGAGGACACTGTAGCCAGACTGGGTGTGAACTCCAGATTGCACAATCTGACTTTGTGGCTTGGCTTCATCATTTAACCATTCAGCTTATTACATCTTCTCATCTGCAAAATGAGGATCACAACAGTTGCTGCCTCTTAGATCTGTAGTGAGAATTAAATATATGCAAGGCACTTAAAAACAGTGCTTGCAAGGCATGTGATAGACACACAAAAATGTTAATCACTACCCTACTCCCCAGTCAGAAGCCTTAGGTTCCAGACTCTACTGCAGTCCCTGGCACCTGAACTTCCATTTAATTTTTTTTAAAGACTTAAGGCAGAGTTACAGAGAGGTAGAGGCAGAAAGAGAGATCTTCCACCTGCTGGTTTACTCCCCAAATGGCTGCAACAGCTGGAGCTGAGCTGATCCGAAGCCAGGAGCCAGGAGTTTCCTCCAGGTCTCCCACATAGGTAGTAAGGGTCCAAGTACTTGGGCCATCTTCTGCTGTTTTTCCCAGACCGTTAGCAGGGAGTTTATGGGGTGCCAGCCTCACAGGTGGTGGCTTTACCCGCTATGCCACAACACTGGCCTGCATTTTAGTTATTGAACCAGTGGAAAAAAAAACTGGGATTGGCATCCACCCAATAGCAGTGATTAATACAGAACAAGTAACCTGTTTCTCTGGTCACTCCCAAATGTGTTCTCACAAGACCTGGACTTTGTTCTTATTACATCGAATGATTCACAGCCTATGTATTTAAGGCTCAAAATATGAATGAGAACTGTTCTCCACCTCTTTCAATATACAAAGTTTCAAACAGCACATTCACTCAAGATCTAAAATTAAAGTTTAGTTGGGTCGATGCTGTGGTGTAGCCAGTAAAGCCGATGCCTCCAGTGCTGGCATCCCATATGGGCCCCGGTTCAAGTCCCGGCTGCTCCACTGTGATCCAGCTCTCTGCTATGGCCTGAGTGTTTGGGCCCCTGCACCTGAAGCTCCTGGTTCCTGGCTCAGGTTGGTCTTTGCAACCATTTGGTAAGTGAATCAGCAGATGGAAGCACTCTCTGACTTTCATATAAATACATCTTAAAAAAAAATTAAAATGCTATACATTGTTCAAAGGCAAACAAAATATACAAAATGCAGGATGCTGTTCAGAAACTGTACTTTTTAAACTGAGACTTCCAGCACTTGAGTGTGAAAAGAACGACTGCAGATGCCAAACGAAACTGAAAGCAGCGTCCCACGGCACACACCTTCCTCCTTCTGGACTCGGACTTCAGTGTTTCTAGAAAAGACATTACACTGTAGTGTAACCGTGTAACCAATAAAGAAGACCAAAGATCCTGCTCTAGCTCAGCCAGTTGTTAACCTTCCCACAAGTAACACCTCTGAACTTCATTTTTCTCCTAATTCAGGGGTTAGTAACACATTGGTTTGATGATAAATGAAAAACCAGCGAGCACTTTGCACATGGTCAAATCGCTGCCTAAAATTAACTTCTAGGGAGGTGGGGAGACGCTAAACAAGTACCTCCATCGGATGCCGGGCTCACACTCCCCGAAAAGGCAGATAAGAAAATACTCTTTAATCACATTGAAGCCGGCCTGTGTCCGGGAGTCACTGGCTCTGACAAGGACAAGGCGTCCTCAGCTCTTCTCACAGCCTAATTCACGCTGTCTGCCAACCTCATTTCAGGCCTGCTGCTGAAAATTCTGCGAGGGGAGCCTTAAAACTATCTCCCCACCCAGCCGCACCCACGTCTCTACTAAATAGGAATAAAAGCTGCCCGGCTTGTTTGAAAGGTCACCTGGCAAGCACCCAAGGAACTGAGACGGGCTCTTAAAATGACAAGGCCTTAAATGGCTGCCGCCATGCACCACCATGTACAAGTCTAGGCACCACTGTTTCCTGCACGGGCTTAGTCACGTTTTCAGGACGGCTGCGTTGGTTGCCGTTTCACTTTTGACAAAAATCAAGGTAGACAAGATACTACTTCGTTTCTGAAAAACGCTCAAATTAAAAAAAAAAAAATCCAAAGCTAAGTCTCAGGACTGCCAGAACCTAGGATTTCCTAACGCCTGCCGGTTTCCAGGGGCTGGGGGGAGGGGAGACTTCTTTTTAGTCTTTCTTCCACAATAGCAGAGCTGTAGGGCTGGGACACGTGGGGGTGGGGATGAATCAGAAAGCCGAGTCAGTTCTCGGAAAGAGGAAGGGAGAGGCACCGGGGTCTACGCTCAGAGAAACACGTGTGGCTGCCTATTAGCCCCAACCCAGGGTCCTGGTTCTGCGGTTTCTGAGAAGCAGGGCCCCTCGAACCCCCGCTCCGGGGGCTGCCGGCCAACCGCTGCCGCAGCGGCGTGAGGTTTTTGAGCACCTGCTAGAGAAACCTGTCCCAGCCAGCGCAAAAGCGGAGGCGACACCGGCAGTGTACTACCAACTCCCTCCAACTGCAATCCAGGGTGCCCCGATCAAGTTCTTCCACGAGGCGCCGGCCTCCCCCCACCCGCCCAAGGCCGGATCGTCGGCCGCAACATCCCGCGGTCAGGCCTAGCCTAAAGAATCGCTGCTCCGAAACGTGGATCCGCGGAACCTAAGCCGGCCTAGAGGACCTTCTTGCATTTTGCAGTGAGGGTGGAGGAATACTTAGGTGGGGGAGGGGAGAAACAACCTTCGCGGCCATTTTGTCCTCGCTCCACTTCCGTCTTCTCTTCCCGGGCTTCGGCTCCTGGACCCCTCCCTTCAGGTCCAACCCTCATCCTCTCCCGGTTCCGAGCCGGCGAACAGCGCGGTTTGCGCTGCTGTCATTGGCTCGTTCTAAATTTGCCCGCCCCTCTTCCTTCTCCTCCTTCCGGCCCCTCCCGCCCGCGCCGACAGGAAGCGCATGCGTAGATGCGGTTCTCCCCTTCCCCCCAACGCCCGGGGTGACTGAGGACTCCCGCGCGCGGGCTTTGTCGGCCCCACCCTCGCTTTCCCCGGGGCCGCTCGGAGAGCGGGGGCGAGCCTGAAAGTTCCAGAACGCTGCGGTGGTGCGTCACCGCGGGATGGGGTGGGGTGAGGGCGGGAGGGGGCGGGGCCCAAGGATTGGAGCAGGCTTCCCATTGGGGCTTGCAGAGGTTGCCGGGCACCATTGGCTGAGGCTGCCATGATAGGCAGCCGGCAGGGGCGGGCCCCTTCTGGAAGGTTCTGAGACAGGGTATAAGAGGCAGGGTGGCGGGCGGAAACCGGTCTCATTGGAGTCGGTGACACCTTTTCGGCCGGACGTACTATTTTTCTGAACCGAGCCGGGCCTTCGCGCAAGGTAAGGTCTTTGTCCTTTGAGCGCTTGGTGGTAGCGGGGTGGGGGGATCTCCGAGCGCATCGGGCGGAAGCTGAGGGAGGCGCCTGCGAGCCCGGGCTTTCGGGGCGCCTGAGCGAGGGAGCGTGCGGCGGCCTGGCTGCCGGCTGAGACCGCCTTCTCTGAGGTGGCGCGGCGCCTGGCTGGCAGCCGCCGGGGCGGCCGGGCTGTGCGGCGGCCGGGAGGGCAACACGGGGTCCCGTTCCCGCCGGGGCCCCTCCGCGACCGCGTGGCCGGAGGAGTTGGGGGGGGGCGCCACATCCGTTTTCGGCCTGCGGGGCTTGGCAAATGGAGCCGGCCCTTTCTGCCTCATTGCTTAATCCGGTTCCATTCAGGGTCTTAGAGGAGGAAGCCGCTCCTGGCGTGCGCCCAAGACGGGGCTGCTTTGGGTTTTTTTTATTTAAAGGCCGAGTGGGGCCCGGGAGCGCGGGGTTCTGGCCGAGGTGACCTGGGGTTCTGCTCGGGGTGAGAGCACGTGCGCCGCGGACCCTCGGGGCAGACGGCTCCTGGGGCCCGGGGCGGGCTGTGCTGCGGTTGGCACGGCAACCCTAACTGCAGCGGGGCTGCGAGGCCCTCCCGCGTGCCGACTTCCGCCCCAGCGGTGCTAGCGTGCTGAGCCAGGCCCTCGGCCATCGCTGTAACCGGGTTTCGGGCTTGAAGGACAGGGGTGAATATTTATAGCTGAGTACGCTGTGTAGAGCAGGTATATTTATTTTTTTTTCCTCTTTACAGCAATCATGTCTAAGGGACCCGCAGTCGGCATTGATCTTGGCACCACCTACTCGTGCGTGGGTGTCTTCCAGCACGGGAAAGTGGAGATAATTGCCAATGATCAGGGCAACCGAACCACCCCAAGCTATGTCGCCTTCACTGACACCGAACGACTGATCGGTGATGCTGCAAAGAATCAAGTTGCGATGAACCCCACCAACACGGTTTTTGGTGAGCCATTATAATTGATTTGCCGTGTGGGTTTGAGGGGACCTAGGCAATAGGATACTTGGGATGCTGGCACAAGGAGACCCTTACAGGAATTCAATCCTTATTACCGTTAAGTTGCCGTTAATCATGGGCTTAGTTGTGAAAACTACTGAAATTGGGCATTGTGCTTATGAATCTTACAGATGCCAAGCGATTGATCGGACGCAGATTTGATGATGCTGTCGTTCAATCCGACATGAAACATTGGCCCTTCATGGTGGTGAATGATGCCGGCAGACCCAAGGTGCAAGTAGAGTACAAGGGAGAGACGAAAAGTTTCTACCCAGAGGAGGTGTCATCAATGGTTCTGACGAAGATGAAGGAAATTGCAGAAGCATACCTGGGGAAGGTAAGGGTAATGCTGAGAACCGCAGGCTGAGTGCATCATTGGCTGAAAATACAACAAGTATTTTTGAGATTTCTAAACTGAGCAAGTATATGGTAGTTGTACTGTTGATGGTTAGTGGTTTCCAATAACTTGCTGGGATTTGGGGTTTATGTCCCAAGTAGATTTGAACATGGGCGTTAAAGAGCATTTTATAGTTGAGCATAGTAATTTAGGATTCTTAACTTTCATTCCTAGACTGTTACCAATGCTGTGGTCACAGTGCCAGCTTACTTCAATGACTCTCAGCGTCAAGCAACCAAAGATGCTGGAACCATTGCTGGTCTCAATGTACTGAGAATTATCAATGAGCCAACTGCCGCTGCTATTGCTTATGGCTTAGACAAAAAGGTATGTAACATCTGTGATGGAAATGAAAGCTTAGGGTGATGAGCCAGCAGAGGTGTTTACATGGTTTTTTAATTGCAGGTTGGGGCTGAGAGAAATGTGCTGATTTTTGACCTGGGAGGTGGCACTTTTGATGTGTCCATCCTCACAATTGAAGATGGAATTTTTGAGGTCAAATCCACAGCTGGAGACACCCACTTAGGTGGAGAAGACTTCGACAACCGAATGGTCAACCATTTTATTGCCGAGTTCAAGCGCAAGCATAAGAAGGACATCAGTGAGAACAAGAGAGCTGTCAGGCGTCTCCGCACAGCTTGTGAGCGAGCTAAACGTACCCTCTCTTCCAGCACCCAGGCCAGCATTGAGATAGATTCTCTGTATGAGGGAATCGACTTCTATACCTCCATCACCCGTGCTCGATTTGAAGAGTTGAATGCTGACCTTTTCCGTGGCACCCTGGACCCTGTCGAGAAAGCCCTTCGAGATGCCAAGTTAGATAAGTCTCAGATCCATGATATTGTCCTGGTGGGTGGTTCTACTAGAATTCCCAAGATTCAGAAGCTGCTTCAAGACTTCTTCAATGGAAAAGAACTGAATAAGAGCATCAACCCTGATGAGGCTGTTGCCTATGGTGCAGGTAATAAATCACTTTTAACCATTTAACCTGGTAAGCAGCCACTTTTTAGTGGATCAAGATGACCGCTATGATGAGTGATCCTTAACCATTCGTAGTTTCCACCAAAAGCTTGGCTAATGATGGCAAACCTTCCTTGGATGTCTGAGCGAGTCAGATTGGTTATGGAAATGGTAGAAGTTTTTCTGTTTTTTAACTGAATTTTCCTTTCACCAGCTGTCCAGGCAGCCATCCTGTCTGGAGACAAATCTGAGAATGTTCAAGATCTGTTGCTGTTGGATGTCACTCCTCTATCACTTGGGATTGAAACTGCTGGTGGAGTCATGACTGTCCTCATCAAGCGCAATACTACCATCCCTACCAAGCAGACACAGACCTTCACCACCTACTCCGACAACCAGCCTGGCGTGCTCATTCAGGTATGTCTATTTAATGTTGGCTTGGTTTATGGAGGTTGGGAAAGTTTGCGCTGTGATGATAGATTCCAAAACCATTCGTAGTTTCCACCAGAATTCTTATGTTGGCAAGTTCCTTCCTTGGATGTCTGAGCGTTAAGTCTTCCCTAGATAATCTTAGATAATTAGAACTAGGACAGAAACCTTAAATCTTGCAATTTGTTTGTTCACAAAGGTTTATGAAGGTGAGCGTGCCATGACCAAGGATAACAATCTGCTCGGCAAGTTTGAGCTCACAGGCATACCTCCTGCACCCCGTGGTGTTCCTCAGATCGAAGTCACATTTGATATTGATGCCAATGGCATTCTTAATGTATCTGCTGTGGATAAGAGTACAGGAAAAGAGAACAAGATCACCATTACTAACGACAAGGGTAAGGACAAGGATTGCCTTTATTGCTAGGGAGGGTTTAGGAGATGGCATGTTAACGACAATTTGAACTATTACTAAAAAGATTATCCCAACTTGCAGGCCGTTTGAGCAAGGAAGACATTGAGCGTATGGTCCAGGAAGCTGAGAAGTATAAGGCTGAAGATGAGAAGCAGAGGGACAAGGTGTCTTCCAAGAATTCACTTGAGTCCTATGCATTCAACATGAAGGCAACTGTTGAAGATGAAAAACTTCAAGGCAAGATTAATGACGAGGATAAACAGAAGATTCTTGACAAATGCAACGAAATCATCAACTGGCTGGATAAGAACCAGGTCTGTAATGTGCTGAATGGAGGGACATGTAGAATCTGAATAGGCTTGGGCTAGGTTTATGAAAAGATAGGGTCACAATGATGAATGGTCCAAAACATTCGCGGTTTCCACCAGAACTCAACAGTGTTGGCAGTTACCTTCCTTGGATGTCTGAGTGACCTAAATGCCACAAAATAGCTAGGGCTTTATTTTAGTGTGACAGTGGGGTTCTGTGTTATAATAAACCTTACTGCAGATGCTTAAAAGCTTATTCTGATAACCATTCGTTTTGTCTTCACAGACTGCAGAAAAGGAAGAATTTGAACATCAGCAGAAAGAACTGGAGAAAGTCTGCAACCCAATCATCACCAAGCTGTACCAGAGTGCAGGGGGCATGCCAGGGGGCATGCCTGGGGGCTTCCCTGGTGGGGGAGCTCCTCCATCTGGTGGTGCTTCCTCAGGGCCCACCATTGAAGAGGTTGATTAAGCCAATCCCATTGTAGATGCAGCATTGTTCCACACAGTAAAAGATGGAAGGACCCAAATTTGTAGCAAATTCTGTGGCAGTTTTAAAGTTCAGCTGCTATAGTAAATTACTGGGCATTCTCAATACTTGAATATGGAACATGTGCACAGGGAAAAGAAATAACATTGCACTTTATAAGCACTGTATCTAAGTGGAAAATGCAATGTCTTAAATAAACCTGTATTTAACATTGGCACCATACAGTTGTCTTGACTCTTATTAAATAGTAGGCCAGGTTTAAGCAGGTGCCTGTTGAGCACCTATGAGCCTGTGAAAAGTGGTTTTTGCTAAGGTGGCAACTAAGGCAGTTCCTCAGTAAGCTGTGTTGAGGCCTTGAATTTGTGTGGCATTCCCCTCTGGTGGCTGGAGTAGTAAATAGTCAAGGCAGGGTGGTTAAAAAGGCAGGTAGTTGGTAGCAGAGCAAGTCAGTTGCTCACCATTAAAGACCTTTGAAAAGGTTGAGTGTCATCTTAGTGGAGCCTCAAGGTGGGAGAGTATTTCTGTAAATCTAGTGTTTTCTATAAGTTTGCATGATAGCTGAATTCTGTCAGTGCATTAGCAAAGACTGACAATGGGTGATAATGTACATTTTGCCCTATGCACCTCCAGGAAAAGTAGATCAGAGGTGCTTTAAAATTGATTAGAGTTCAC